CGTTTTTTCCTCCAATTTTAAAACCACACTCATCTTCTTCCACTCCAGCTTCCCTCAATATACAGTATATTCAGCATATAGGTTGAATAAATAAGGGGACTATGATACAGAGTATTCCTGTTCACTAGAAGAGTATTCCTTTTTTAAAATAAATTTTATTAAATTTCAGAAAGATTAAAATACAAAAAAGTAAAAAAAAAACTTCAGAAAACAAAAAGTATAGAAAAAGAAAAGTCACTTCCAACTTTCTTTGGTACAGGTATAAATGTAAAATACGTTCATCTCTTACTCTAATATCTAAAGATTTACATAGTAAAAGTAATTTTAATCAAATATTCAATGTACACTGATGTACACTGTACATTAGAGTAGAGACTTTGAGTTTCTAAAAGCCTTCTTGTGATTTCTTGAGGTGGTGGCTCTATTCACTGATGACAGAGAAGCTTGCAAGTGGCTGTTCACATAATGAAAGTTGAGCACTCTGGGAACAGGCTTTTCCAATGGGGGAGGTGAGAAAGGTGGCCACCATTTTGCAGGTTTTATTATTCTGGGATTTCTGTGTTTCCAATGCAACAACTGAGAAATTATCAGGAAGCTCCTATACCTTTTGTTAAGAAGGGTTCCTAGCTTAAGACACATCCTGTATATCACAGAAATACACACACATAAATGTACATAAACACAAATGCACACACATGCACACTCTCACCAATGTGAAAGGAATGGACTAATTTTGAAACATTGGAATATTTGATAATTCTTGCATTCAACTTTATTGAGACCTATTTTATAGCCAAATACAAATATAGCCAAATATAACTGAAGGCCTTTTGATTAGGGTAAAAATTAAGACACCCTTTCTTTCATTGATCATTGTGATACAGAATCTCATCATTCTTCCTCCTTCTCCCTTCTTATAGCTGAAATAAAAGCTGTAGGATATAAAAGACAAATATGACACCAGGATATTTATCATGGCATGGAATTTCCTTAGAAAATATGTATACTATATATGTATATGTATTAAATGTTTCTACTCCTGGTAGTGTTGGTTCTATTAAGCCACTTAAAATCTTAACCTAATGATTTTTGTGAGTCTTATTTTCAAGACAATGCAAACTATTTGTTTGAAAACTGGCCAAGCCAACAGGGCAACATTTATCAGCAGAAAGTCTAATTCTGATGTCTGGAATGTAGGCTTCTGTCTGATGCAATCAGCAAATCTGAATAAGGAGGAGCAGAAACTGGACCTGAAGTTAGACACACAAGAGTGGACATAGTATGACAATTCCACCTAAAAGATGGTCTATTGAAGTTATTGAAGGAGATCCAGCTAGTGAACCATAAAAAGGCAGAGATGTGTCAAAGGAAGATATTATTTCTTTATATGAGGACCATACCTGAATATTAACAGAAAGACTTGCTGCAAGGAAAGTTGTAGGATTTAAAAAAAAGTGTTTAAAGTTAAACATGATGCAAACAGGGGCCTGCAGATGGCTGTCATAGCATATAACTTTCTTGAAAATCTTACTTGTATTTCTGGTTCTTAGGCCTTTGCCTGTAGGTTCTGTGAATATGCTTTGTTTTTAAAGCATGCTCAACTAAGTACAGACCCTAAAGAATGAACTGTATGATTTCAGTCAGAGTTACTTCAAATTGGGTTAATCATGTCTTTAGAACAGACACAATAGTCACAGCTTGCTTTGAAACACAATTTACTTACTGTAGCTGCTTTGACTCACAGAGTATATATTTCACATTCATCATTTCCTCATTGATCACTGAACTAAGTAAAATATATATTTACTGCACTTTATTTCTAACCCCTTCTATTAAGAAAGAATTATAAATTCCTATAATATTCCCTTTAAAGAAAGTCTCAGATTACTGTTGGATAAGATTCACTGAAAATTGTGTAAAGGTAGTTCCACTAGTGGAGGGGGAAAAAAGATGAAGTAACTATTGTTGACCATATTGGTTAATTTACTCTTTTTATTAAGTGCTCCCGTTTATTAAGGTCAGGTCTAATTATAATAAGGTAGCATTTGGAGAAAAAGACACAAGCCAGGAGCCCAGCACTGGAGGCTAAGATGGAGAAGATCTCCACAGCCACTACATATTTCCCCTTGGTGCTCATGTAGGCAGGGACAAAAGACAACCACACACTGCAGAACATCAGCATGCTGAACGTAATGGATTTGGCTTCCTGGAAAGTATCTGGTAACTTCCTAGCTAAGAAAGCTGCAATAAAACTGACAATAGCCAAGAAGCCCATAGAAGACAAGATACTATAAAACATGACAACTGACCCTTCATTGCATTCCACAACAATTTCAGAGATGAAGGAATGCATGTCAAAGTCTGGGAAAGGGGGTGAGATTCCCAGCCACACAGTACAAAGAAGAGTTTGAATAAGGGAGCAGGAAAGAACTATGGAAAAGGCCAGTCTTTTCCCCACCCATGTCCTCATCCTTGATCCTGGCTTGGTGGCCGTGAAAGCCAAGACCACAGTGATAGTTTTGCCCAACATACAGGAAACAGCAACTGAGAAGATGGTCCCAAAAGCAGGTTGTCGAAGGAGACAAGTCATCTTCACTGGTCGACCGATGAAAAGCAGAGAACAAAGGAAGGAGAGGAGGAGGGAGATGAGGAGGGTGTAGGAGAGGCTGCAGTTGTTGGCCTTGACAATGGGAGTGTTGTGGTACTTCAGGAAGATCCTAGTACAGAAACTGTGGTGAAAGAAAGGGTAATGGCCACTGTCATCAAGCTGCTTCCTAATGTTTCTTCACAAGAGAGGTAAGAGATGTACTTGAGAAGGCAGAAATCCTGGTTATGGTTTGGATACTGATCTTCTGGGCACTGGAAGCATTTGTCCATGTCTGAAAAGCAAATATAATTAGAAAGTCAGGAGATGGTTAAGAAGCCACCAGTTTGAGAATGATGATATAAAACAAATATATTGGAAATGTATGTTAAAGCAAATGAGTTGTTGGAAGACAGAGAGTTGGGTGATACAGTATATAAATGTAAATAATAACAACAACAACAACAAATACAGCAGCAATGGCATAGTCTCTTCTTGTAGATTTCTGCTTGGGTGAAAATTATTGACCAAAGTCCATTTTATAATACTTTTGCTTTATTTATTTATTTGTTTGTTTGTTTTAAAAAAAACATAAATATCTCAAAGATATTGATGAACCATCCCACAGTGAATAACAAAATGATTCATATCAAAATTGTTTGAATTCAACCAAAGCTTGAAAGGACTTGAAAGATGCCTTAATAGAAGATGTATTCCATATTCCCTTCATCAATATTTTCACAAACTTTCACCTGATAGTAAATCACAAGAGAGAAAGAAAGAATTTTAAAAAGAAAAACTTTGGCTTAGACACTCTTCTGTTTCCAGGAGAAATGGGGTACTCAGTTGTGAAAAGTTAGACATGTTTAGGAAATTGACTGTGATGTCTAAATGATGGAGGACATCCGGTATCGTTCATAACATCTCTTACCTGTCTGATTGGTGATCTTTCCCTGTGGACATGGAATGCAGTCATAGCAGCAAAATGGTTCTCCTTCTTTTGGAGTCTTTCGGTAACCTGGAGGGCAATTATCACTACACAGGGAGAGAGGCGATACCTGCCCATGAAGGAAAGAAAAATATATTAATTGATTTGGAAACCATATTCACAGATTGTCATCGCAACATTTTGAGATTGTGGCACTGAAGAACATCTTTCCATCCTCCCTGACTCAGCTGAAATGGCACACAGAAACATAAATAATTCCAGGCTCATGATTCATAAAAGTGATTCAATCAAGCCAAAAGGAAGATGTTCTTACTTCACATGTCAACTGGATGTTTCAGCTGTTGCAGGGAGTTCTCCTGTTAGCTCACCTAAATTATGAATTTAGTGACATACATTTCATGATTGTAAGGTTAACCTCTGGATCCTATGGCTACCTCTGGTTCTGAAGAAAATCAAAGCTAAGTAGTCCAAAGGGACACTCTTGAAAGAAGACCTCTGGCCAATGCCAAGAAAACAATATACTTAAACCCATTAAATGATTGATTGATATCAGAATCTTTTCCACAGGACTATGGAAATAAATTCAGCAACACTGAATTTTTGTCTCTTAATCTCTTTTATCCCAGTTTGCTTGCTGTTTGTTACTCATTTTCTGCAATCTGCATATTGTTGTTTGTTCTCAAAAGGCATACTAAGATGACAATATACTGTGTGCTTCTGTAGATGAACTTCAGCAATATTAACATTAGAACCAGAGTTGTGCTCATAATTCTTCTCCTATTGCAGTTTTGGCAAAATGAGGTGGGAACTCATTTGGTCAAGTATTTTTCAGGGAAGGACTGAAATTCTCCCCACAAGAAAATTCACAATTTAACAGAAAATTACCAGAAATATCCATAAAGTGCTGAAGACATTTGGAAAAGAATCTCACAAATTTGATATTACCAATATACTTTTTGAGATCATTGCTTAGATCTTAATATAAGTTGCATAAAACTATTCAAGGAGAAAAGAAAAGAAAACAATAACAAAACAACAAAGCACCATAGCATAACATTATCTCCTTTGTATATGGGTGAATAAATTAACATATGTTTCTGCAGGCAGAGTGACTCCACAATGAGGAAAAATGTATTGTGATATCACAACAGAAGCTCTTCGCTGATACTTGCATTGCAATGTCACATACAAGTACATAAGGCTCCAGGTGCATTTACAGTGATAGTCACTGACTCCAAATGGCACACACATCTGGTAATCAAATCCTTACCCTTTTTAATGTGTACTGTATGCTCTGCTCACTAAATAAAAAGGACAGGGCTTTGAATCCAGTGGCCATAGCTGAGGGTGCCCCATAAAGTGTACAGTTTGGGTCCCACTCCACAATTTGTCATCTAACCTATGCATTGTGCCCCCATATAACAGTTGGATATTGAACCTAACCCTAGAAGGATTCAAATACCCCAACAATTCCCATGATTGATTCAAAACAAGGCAAAATAGAAGATATATTTTACCAGAATAATCACTTGACAATCTACTAAATAAATATATAATGTCATGTGATTTGCTCAGCTCTTGCTTAGATTTTTTTTTTTAAGACAAATATACTCAACAGAAAATAATGCAATTGTGTTAGCTTTACATGAACATCCCTGAAATATTGGGTAAAGTGATAAATCAATGTGGACATGAGATGGATTCTACCTGATTGAACCAGGTGGGCCAGATGATGTCATCCTCTGAAACGGTCAGCAGTTGATGTGAGAGTCCTTCTGTATCTATGGTTCCAACCTTAACTCTAAGGAAGGACTGGTTTGGGAATGTGACCCAGTTTATAATATCAAATCCTCCTACCAATTCACCATTTTCATCAAAGGAAATCTTGTCCCCAGCACTGTTATTAAATGAAACACCTCTCAGAACATGGTGAAGCTGAACAGCAAGGATGAAAAAGTTGGAAAAGACATAAAAGTATTGTATGATGGTTTATTGTTAATGCTTTGCAAAATGTTTGCATTACCAATACGATGAATGCCAGCAAATAAGAAAACAGCAGTTATAGCAGATTAGATATAAGATTGCATCATTGTCTTCATGGAAGTGGGAACTTAAGCTTCCCCTCCCCCCCCAAAAAAAAGATTAATAAGGATTTGCAGGCATCATCTCTGAACAAATTTCCCACAAATTATTAAAAATATATATTTATTTCTTATGGACAAAACATAAAATTCTTCTACAATCTAATATGTCTTACTTAATATATTGAACACCTCCAAACAAGTAAGTGTCTATATAAGGATCTTGCAGAGTTATTAGATTCATAGGATTAATTTTTATGGGAAAATATTTTGAAAAATCTCAATTGTATCAATTCAGGGTCAAAATGAGGCTGGCATCATTTCATCACCTCCCTTTTCTTTTACAAAAATATATGATGCCAATATGAAAATTAAAAAAAGAAAAAGAGAAAAGGATGAACAAACCATTTATGCAAACTTATGCTGATATAGTGAGATGGGCATGTGATTATAGTTGTAAGATATAAGCATCTTGTTTATATGCAAAGTAGAATAAAGTTGTACAGGAGTATCAATAGAGTACTGGAAAGCAGGAATATTGGCTAGTTCTAGAACTGAGAACTCAAAAACTAAAACTCAAATATACAGAAGTTGGAATAGAGGATCATCCTATGAAATGTTTGCTACAAATCCCATTTAAACTACAAAAAATATGTCTTTCTGATTAGAAATGAGTCATGATCCCAAGATATCTGGCAGGCAGCATACTTAGGAAGTCTTAGATTTAGTTAGTGGGAATTTACAGGGAGATACTTTTAAAAAAAATTAAAAAGTTTGGATCAGAGGTTCAAGGTGAAAATGAGACAAGATTCCTTCTTCTGAGTCTCTTCTTGGTGCAAAATAGTGCAAAATCAAAACCAAATAAAGATCTGCAATGAATGTTATCAGGAAGATAAGAGTCCAACATGGATAAAAGGTTGTCATGTAAGAAAAGAACATAATTCACTTCCAATTTGGAATGAGCTTTTATGGGACCAGCATTGTAATAGCTGAGAATTGGAACCTAAGACAATCATAGAAATGAAAACAAAAATACTAACTAAAGATGTATAGAACACAAAGCATGGGGCAGCTCACCCCAACTTTTTGCTCTGCAGATATGCTTGAGCTACTGATTTTAATATATGCACCCGACATGAAGAAAACATTGGTTCTTCTTCATGGAAATAGGAAGATCGCAGGACACAAACATCTGACAGGGCTCAGTTAAACAAAACAGGTTTATAATTTTGCTTTGCATGAATAGGTATGGTGAGATACCTTGCACTATTCGGATCAGGAGATTTACCTTCCATGACTGCTGTTGAAAATGTTTCCATGTCACCCCTGATCTTTGCTGGTCTATGGATGAATAGAGGGCATACAAAGCATGTGCAACAGCATAGACAGCATTGTAGACACTGTAACTGTGGGGAGTCATCCTTGTTTCAAACATGGTTACAGGGAGAGTCTCCAGCTTCTCCTCTCCAGTGCAGATATTCCCTTCCACTGGCCCAATAGTAAAATTTAGAAGCAGACAATTAAATACCTGCTGCCAAATTTCTTTCAGGAAGCCATCTCTTTTATGCAATATAGGATTCCTCATTTCAACAAATTTCTGGAATCCTGACACTTCTTGTGACTGAATTGCCAGAGATA